AAAAAAAAAAAAAAAAAAAAAAGAAAAATAAAGAGACATCAACCCATTAGACGAAAACTATATATATTTTCTTGAGATCTTACTTATATTTTTGGTCGGGCCATGCTTGGTCCCCAGGCCCTATCCAAAAGAATTTGGTCTTTGTCAACCAAGGCTCGTTGTAGGTTACAGAGAGTGCAAAAATCTCAGCCGAAAGAAAATACACGCATTTCCATGCAGATTCTTTGAACTTTCTTATCTTCTTTCTTTGGTCCTCAGACTCAGTTCCCACAACTTGTGTTCCCTTTCCAAATATTAGTTGTCTGCCGACCTTCTGAAGGACATAAATCCAATATAAATGAAGTAAAAGCTCAGTAAGTTTTCCAATCGTGCAAAATGCAATTACGACCATTTGGTCAGAAAAGATCAGTATGTAATCCCAAATACAAATGAGACCTAATTAAAATTAACAACTGAAAAATCATGACATCATTATAGGTTCATGAGAAACCAAATGAAGAACAAACTGATTAAAATCCTCAAGTCACATGAATGACTGTAGGCTTCATAATACAGTGCTTAAATGATTTAATGCATGTGAATTATTACATTTTATTGTCATTTTATTTTGTATTACTTCTAACAGATTACCTTGGTTTAAAAGAGAAAGAACACAAATCGTCGATCTTTTATCAAATTCAAATCCATAGCTTCCTTCTCTGCCATGTCTCATTTCTTCAAGTTCCCAAGATTTCATATTTACTTATTGGGATTTATTACCAACAATAAAACTTACAGTTTTGAAAACTCTACGTCAGCATACAAAATTCGACACCAAGTCCTGCAAAAACTTATGCCATGATACTGAAAAAAGTTTCTTCTGCCTTTCAGGGAGGAAACTATCACTAAATAAACATAAAAAATGAAATGATGAAGTGACTCCTGCTCAACATTTTTGAAGAGTACAAACCTTGAATTGAATTTTACTCAAACAATATGGAAAAATGGTACCCATAAATCACTATCCCATTAAAACTAAAATTCTAAGGAAACAAATATATGTAATGATAAAAGGAAAATCGAGCTAGAAATTGCCGCGAAAAAAGAAAACAGAAAAATCACCTCAAAAACAAATCTGTCGAGAAAAAACCGGACTGTGGGGAAAAAGAGAGCGAAAAGGGGCAGCAACACAAAATCTTCATACTGCGGGTACGATTCTTGTTCCCACTCCACAGATTTCACGGCTTCAACAACACCCATCACTTCAGCACATCAAATTTAAAAATATTTATTGCTTGACATTATTTTCTGCACTGTTTATTGGCGTAAGGAGCAACAATTAGAAAAGTCACCTGGCAGCGTGAGTTGATAACAGTAATCATCGACTCGGAAAAGAGAGAAAAATATGGGTTTTTTCCTTTTTCCGGGAAATTTCCACAAATTTGTTCTGTATCACAATTCACAAGGATTTGTTTATATGCTTCATGTTACGTTTTTTTAAAATTTGAAAAAGAGAGGCTTTCTTAAATTTGAAAGGGGGTGATTGGATATGAATTCAACTAGTAAAAATCTAGTTTTTTTTAATTATAGTTAAGTTTGAAAAAAAGTGGTATGGTTAGTTGTTAGTGGATATATTAAAATAGTATTTAAAATAAAATAATTAAAGTTGATTTGATGTAAAAGAAAGAGAAAATGATTAGAAGTGATAGTTAGTTAAAATTATGTGAGTGGATGAATAGTAAATTAAAGTTGATGTGATGTGTAAAAATGATTGGTTGATATTATTTTATTATATTAATAATATTAAAAATAATGGAGTTGAGTTAAAGTTGTGTTAAATTTGAGTTTGAATTAGTTTTTTTACTGTACAATGCATAAACAATCCCCCCCAAAGAGAGGCGAATAATTGTGGAAACTTCATAAAAAAATCTCAGTCAACTCATTTGACATAGTTATAATAGAAATATTTTAAATCTTCTCCGATAAGGCAAAAATCTTCCGCGCATATTTCAAAAAGCAATTTTCAAAAAACAATTGTGAGGATTTTTATGAAATCCGGTGAGGCAAAATTATTCCATATCTTTTGCCAAAATAGTTCACGCGCATGTGTGGAAATTTGTCAAACGGATCACATTAATTGGTAAGCCAATTATTTAAGAAACATGACATATCACAATCAAATAAAATAAATAAATAAATAAAAATAATCATACATTACTAATAGAATCCTATATATATACATACCAAGTTTTTTCATTTTCTCCAATTCGTGTAGAGATAATCTTACAAATAATCACTCTCAAAATACATACAACGAAAAATATAATGATACTATTGTTTGATACACTGCCGCCGTCAACAGGACAAATAAACCTTTTTGAGGTTAAGAGCAGTCCGAATTATTGAAACCCATTTCGGACTGGAGAGCAGGAACTGTTTTCATATCCTGTTTCACGATCAAGAGATAATATTTTCATTTGTTCTATCAAAAATATATAATTATGTAAATTATTTATGTTCATTTGTATAACTTTATATTGTAGGGCGCATATATTGCTGGGATTATACGTTATTCGCATATGACAACCTTTCGAGATGTATTAAAAGAAGGCGATGTATATATGCTCCGCAACTATGATGTTGAACCCAACACATTCGTCAACAACACAACAAACCACAGAATGAAGCTTGTGATCAATAGAAGGACCCGTGTGATTAACTACACTGGGACATTTCCTCAATACTAATGATATTGCTTGGGAAATTATGATATTTAATAATTTAATTCCATGTCGTTTTTATTATTTGCTAATGGGAAAATATATTTTGTCGTTAATAAAGTTTTTATTAGTTCATTTATTACTAATTTTTTGTTTTTTTTACTTATATCCAGTTTTTTTGTCGTTGGTCATATTTGGATTGATTTTGGCAAATTATCGTTGCGGACAACTTTTAATAATTTACAATTCTATTTTTTTTCATTTTGTGGCTAATAAAAATCAAAAGATATTTAAGAACAAAATATTAGGTATATACACCTTATCACCTCCGATTTATCCCTAATTTATATAATTATCCAAAATTCGAATATGATCAATTTTCATAATCAATTTTCGTTTAAATTAAAACAAATCTAATATAAAAAATATCAAATTTCAATTAATTCAAACATATCCGATGATTGTGTAATTTAACTCAAGGAAGCATCTATAGATAATTTTATATACGTTCTTCTTTGATAATCTGGGATGATGCTCCAATGATGCACAAGCATCGCTTCGAAGCTGTACATACATCGTTGCAAGATCTTATGGGAGCAATTGATCCTTCTAACAAGGACAAACCATTTGGAGGCAAATCAGTTGTTTTTTGTGGAGATTTCCGACAAATTCTTCCTGTAATTCCGAAGGGCAGCCGTCAGGACATAGTGAATGCTGCGATTAATGCTTCTGACATCTGGAGGAGTTGTACTGTACTCAGGCTTACAAAAAACATGCGTCTTCAGAGCCTTAAAGAGGTTGCTCGGTTTGCTGAATGGATTGCGAGCATTGGTGATGGAACTATAAGAGGGTCAAACGATGGTTGCGCAATGATTGACGTACCTGAGGATATATTGCTTCAACCACCTGATGATCCGATTGCTTAAATTGTAGAGAGCACATATCCAACGTTTAAGTAGACAATCGATGATCCCAGTTATTTGAAGGACAGGGCAATATTAGCACCGACGCTGGATGTTGTTGAGTCCATCAATGAATACATGACATCGTTGAATTTATCAAAAGGTAATACGTACTTAAGTTCCGACAGTACTTGCAAGTCAGACTCTAATGATGATTTTCTTTCTGATATCCATGCGCCTGAGTTCTTGAATAGTATCAAATGTTATGGAATTCCAAATCATCAGTTGCATTTGAAGATTGAAACTCCCGTCATGTTGTTGCAAAATATGAATCATTCTATGGATTATGTACTGGGACACGGTTGGTTGTGACAAAACTATCCGCTCATGTTCTTGAGTGTAAGATACTCACTGGGGATCACGAAGGCGAGAAGGTGTTGATTCCTAGACTATTACTCCTTCCGATGTCAGAATTCCTTTCAAGTTTCAGAGGCGACAATTTTCGATTATGATTTCGTATGTCATGACTATCAACAAGAGCCAAGGACAGTCATTATCGCATGTTGGTTTATTTCTTAAGAAGCCGGTGTTCAGTCATGGTCAATTATATGTTGCCGCCTCCCGCGTCACCAATCGAAGTGGATTGAAAATATTAGTCTGTAATGACGATGACTTGCCACCAAATCAGACCCAAAACGTTGTGTACAAAGAAGTGTTTACTAATTTATGAAGTTTTTAATTTGTTTTTTTCCATTTTACATTTGTTACGTATCTACAAAGTGCATTAAATTTAATGTTAATATTAAAAAAATTCAGAAAAATATACCATCCCGTGCATCGCACGGGTTAGTACTAGTTTATTACGTAATAGGTACCTAAATATATTTAAGAAAAACTGAATAAAATATACATTTCAAGAAGACATCAATTATTAATTCTTTTGTTTTAGATTCTATGACCCTGCCTATTTATATCGAAGGGAGTAATAATACATCATACATTTCTTTATCATTAATGGCATTATTTGGAGTAATAATACATCATACATTTCTTTATCATTAATGGCATTATTTGTCTCATGGATATGAGGATGGTCATTTCCTTACTTGTTCTAATCTATATATATAATAAGAATAACCATTTACTAAAAATAGTAATAAAATTTTTTATAAGTATTTAATGTATACATTTTCTTGGAAACTTTTTAAATATATGCATTAATTGCTTCCATATACACGTTTTCAAATAAGATCAAATCAGATATGATCAAAAATATTATTTTCTTAAATAATTTTATTAATATCGGCAATAATTTCATTGGTATCCTTTATAATAAATGACAAGATTGATTTTCTGTGATTCATGTTAATAATAATTTGGTCAAGAATAAATAAATATTACAACATATTTTAAGTGCTAACCATAATATTAAAATTTTTTCACAAATATTAACTTTTTATCCAAAAATAGTTATAGAAAATCATAAAAGGTCAGGTAGAATTTTTTCTTCCAATTAATCAGGCGAAATCAAGTTGGTAAATTAATTTTTGTCAATATAACTTTTTCTTAAGCTTTATTTCGTTATGTATAAAAATTGAATTATTCATCAAATTAATATAATTTACCATTTAAGAGATGATGACCAGATACATTAAATAGTTTTACTAATGGTCAAAAATTAAAAATTAAAAATATTAATTGTTCTTTAGAATTTAGTAGTATATTATTGGTAACCGTGATTATTTTTTTATTATTTTTTTAATTTCAATTTCTTTCTATAATGAAAGTATTGTAAAATTTATTTTTATTGCAAAGTATGTTAAATAAATTATAAATCCTTATAATGAAAATTAGAAAAATCTTGATTATAGAAGGGATTGAGATTTTGGCATTTGCTAAATTTTTGAATAATAAAGACATTATACGACATTAAATTTTTGAATAAAATAATTGCATTATGATGAACTAAATATGAAAATTATTATTTTTTTGTATTAAAAAATAAATATGTATTGTAATATTATTTATATTAATATAAACGGGTCAGCGGGCTAATATATTATTGAAATAAAATTTTTAAAAAATATTCTAAGATATGAAATCCCGTGCATTGCAGGGGATACTCACTAGTATGATTAATATAATTTTCCTAATCATATGATTAATATATTTTTTTAGGAAGGAAGATCTGTCACGTGAAAATCTCAAATCCCATATGTGTGGCATTAGCAATTTCATAGTTTTTTCAAGATTTATTTTTCTATAAATAAAGGTAAGATATAATAATAAAAAAATAAATATAAAAAATATAATATAAAGCATAATTAAAATATAGTTGATATTATTTGAAAGAATAAATTTCAAATAAATAATTGATAACTGTAACATTTATTTGTTATTAATATTTTACATATATATATATATATATATATATTAAATTAACAGTTACATTTATAAATAAATTTAAAAAAAGAATCCTTTTATGTTTAAATATTCATATATGTTAAATATTATTCATAAATAAACTATATAATAATAATATATATGGTCATATATGATTATATGGTTTATGTGATGATATATTTATATTATTATGTATATAGTTCACTTATTTATTATATAAGGTAGAGTATATAAAAATATTTATTAAAATATAAAATTATTTTTTCAAATAAAATCATGTTAATATTAACATAATAAAAAGGTGACATCAATATAAGTATTGAAATTTTTTTTTTTTATAATATAGTGATAATATTATATGATAATATTATTCGGTTAATGTGTTATCATCATTTTTAATGAGGATATTAATACTATAAATATGTTGAAGAAGAAACAAAGGCTGCCTATT